AGTCAGTAAAATTCATTTCACATAGAACACTTAATGTTAGAGGACTATTGATATTGCATAAAAGGTTCGGTGGATAACTTGTCACAAGAAAGAAAAAAGTACTGGTTAATATATGTCCCAGCCAAACTCAAGGGATTAGGGCAATTCATACTCAGACTTGCGCTCGTCGTCGCAAGCGCATCTACGGTGACTTTCACTGACTCTAAGCTCGCATGCACCGGTCTGAGGACCTCTGCACCGGCTTCTCTTCAACGCAAAGTCGATTGATAGGGCAGAGGTGGAATGCAGAGGTCCGTAGGCTCAGATGGCGTGCGTGGGCTCGGAGCCCGCGACAAGCACTGTATGTGGTTAAGGATTAGATGACCATAAATGCAGACGCAGGCGCGTCTGAGTGGGCGTTCACAAAAAACGGCGGCTAAGAATAGATACTGTAACGTAAACGTGAAAAAAACGACATTTGGCGGTATGTGATGCAATATCAGGGCGCAGCATTGCTAGTTACGCAAGTTCAAACGAGTTCGTGTGCGTTGGAATGGGGCTCTCGTATTGGAGGTCACCACCCAAAATTTTATTGAATATTTTAAGAAACAGAGGAGGTGATTTGCGGAGCTGTAGTATGTGTAGGACACAGAAGTACCTCAAGATGAACCTTGCAAAGTAGTATCCTTCGTTTTAGTTTCTCCGCCTTCATTTTTGAAAAAGACGCTTCTAGCTGGGCACGCGATTGGAAAATTTTCGGGTTTTATCCAACAGAATGCTTCTTTTTCTAAAACGAAGACGCAAAAACTAAAATGAATGCTGCATTTTCTGTGGTCTAAACTAGAAGAAAAAGTGCATCTACATCAGAAATCGTGAGGATAAATATTCAACGTAGAAGGAGAAAAAAGTGTTTTTGTATTGGAGCGCGATAACTACTGTAGAGCGTCAACTAAGTTAACAGACTGCGCTGAAAGTTTACGCCATGTTCTCTTTCGTTCTAGTGCATCCTCTTCTCTCTAAAACGTCCTTGCAGTATGAGAAATACTAGTAGAAAAAATTTGGCCACCTCACGGACCAAACTACTAAGTTTCCCACTTTTCCATGAAAGCTACTAAGTTTTGTGGAGAGTGCTCAAAAGGCGCCCAAGTAGGCGGGGCGAAGGGAACTAGAGACCCTTCCCCGAGCAGGCTCCTGGTGAGAGACGCAGAATTCTAGCCAGGACCCCCACCCCCTACCTCGGCGCCTCTTGAGGTGGAGCCAAGTTTTGTTAGATCTTTTTCCAACACTAGCTGAGCCCTGTGCAATGATTAGGCAACCAAAAACGGTCGATAGCGAAACATGAACAAATTGAAATTTGTACTGGAACATTTAGTCGTAACACAGCCTACTAGCTCATTAACTGCGGAATAGTCATACATCCAGTTCACAGTGGCAAAAAAGCCGAAGAAAGTTCATAAATCTTTTAAAAACATTGGATAGAGTACACATTATCTCTTTACTTGTCAAAAATCCGAGTATGCCAAGCGCTACTCTATTACTAAAATGCGCAATTTTCACCTGCGCATTTCGCGTCTGGCTCCCAATTGTTCGGGTTTGGAGAAGTGGCTTTATGAACATTGCCGAAGCGTCCCAATTCCAAACCCATTCTCATTGTGGTCGATTGGAGCAGAAAAGCCGTTTGAAGTAACATTTGGACTCATTTTTTATGAATACGGGCCCAGATTTCGAAATACTTGGTCGTATTATGTGATAGCTGATTCGGTTCACCTGTAAATACACCGAGTCCATTTTGCACGAAATGATATATATTACAATCAGAACAAGAGAAGAAAATTATACTGTACCAGTTCAAAAGATACGATACCAGCAAAAGAGGACTGATACGTGAAGGTGCTAACTGAAGTTGCTTACTTACCATTAGAATAGGTTAAATGGACCACGAAAAATACTATTATGTACCGTGCAGAGCTGTGTTTGCGTTCCCATCAGTGGCACGGTTCACCTCCGAGTGGTTTTAGCTGCTTTAAGTAGATGCCCCTCCATGTGAAGAGCCTTTCTAAATTAATTTAAGTAACCCTCCTGAGCATCATTTTCCCAGTTACAACTTAACATGTGATTAAAAACAATTCTCCCTAATATTCAAACAGTGTGATGCCAAAATATAAACACCTATACTTCAGCCTCCCTCCTCTCGTGCTGAACTCTAAAGGCTGCAGCTAGAGGTCTTTCGACGAATTCAAGCAGGGGTGTTCGTTGGGGTACGGGACTGTGAGTTACGTGCGTTGATTGCTCGCTAAAGTCTGTATCGACGCAGGCTCCGATCAATACGCATGTGACATACAGTCGCATGCGTCGACGATCACATCCGCTTGAGCTCATCGAATGACCTCCAGCTGCAGCTTGAAGGCAACATCGACGCTCGGAACGCTTCCTGAGTCCTCAATGGATTCTTAAAGATGGGCTCAGAAAATGGGTATATTTTGAATTTCTCATGTCAAAAGTCATTTTCCTAACCTAGAAAATCGCTCTAGAAGACTCGTCCATGATTTTGCCGAGGAGTTTTCCATTTCGTCGCTCGCCTTATAGGGAACTCGCCTACCATACCAAAATGCGAAGGCATGAAAGACTCATACAACTCCGCTCACGCTGAGTGGTTATAGTGCTTTAATCAGTGTGCAAAACACACTGACAAGATAGGTAGTCCCACATCCTTTCACGATAAGATAAGTCGTCCCACACAATCGGTCCACCAGGTCCATCGACGCTTCGGCCAGCGACCCCCTTTCAGACGAAGCAGGATTGCTAAAGAGACCGCGAAATCCATGGAATCTCAGCCTTATCCAACGATTGGCGCTGGAGCACAATTTCCTGCAAACAAATAGGCAAAGCAGGGTTGCGAAAAATGATTAAGTTTTCTATTTAGCAAATGAGTTGAACAACTTCCACACTAGTCGAAAGAGGAGGACTTCTTCTACTCAGTCCTGCAGTAAAGTTGGGTAAAACTTTCAAACAGTGGGTCTGTGAAACCCAGAAAATAGGCTGAATTCGATCCAGAGTAAAATAAGACTCGTGAAAACATTATCAGCTCCTTCAGTGGAAGAATTTTAAGCAATTTTCATATATCATGAGAAAGTTCATTGAATGCTCTCTCTCGAACCATGTGTACCATTGCTCGGATTAGTTTCGTTTTTTTACAATTGCTACAGTGCGACGCAGCGCAATCATAGGCGGAATGCTCTCCAACTTTACGCCGTGGACCTTCACTTTTCCAAGGTTCAAGAAGAGGACCTTCACTTTGGACCTCTCTCTACCTCACTCAGTTTTCAGGTTATTTGAAGACCAGTCAGAGTACTTTTTTCCAAATGCGAGGAACTTCTGCAATAGAGGAATGCTCTATCGAAGGTTTTGTTTGGTTTTGCAAGATCTCTTCTGAAAGTGCTGGCAAATTTCGTCTAATTCGAGCGATTTCTGAGCTTTAATTGATAATATCAGGCTTCAGTGAAGAGCATTCTCAAACGCGAAATTCTTCTCTGACTCCCCTCATCGTGAAGAATCGAATGGTATACAATATGTCCATGTTCATCAGCTGAGAGCTGAGATCTCGCAGCAGGGCGTAATTATGACGGGCCCACGCCCGATTTTACGCGTCCTTTAAACAAGACGGGCGTAAGCCAATTATGATTATGCCCAGCTGCGAGACAGCTGACGAAACATGGTCATGTTATATGTCATTCGATTTCTCACAGTGAGAGGAGTCCGCAGAGGAATCTGAGATTGCTTTTCATTGAAACCTGATATTTACCGTTAAAGCTTAAAAACTGCTCAATTTTGACGCAATTTGCCAGTACTTCCAGAAGAGTTCCTGCAGAACCATACATACCGTTGGGTAGGGCTAACCTTGTTCTACTGCAGGAGTACCTCGCATTTCGAAAAAGTTTCCTACATAAGTCAACGATTAGACTTCAATCCAAATCTCTCCCCCCCCCCATTGACGCCTGTCTTTCTGCTGCCAGACCACCTTCACTTTTATCCATGCCCGTCAAAACTGGACCCTCACTTTTGGAATCCTTACGCCCGTGTATCCCACCTATGAGCGCAGTTTGCGGTGCTACCCTAGTCAAAAATTGCAGTAGAGTCGCATCGTAATAACTTTACGGCAAAGGGCCTGTGAAGGTTTACTTCTAATTCGCACCGAGGTGCGAATTAGAATTAGGTCTCAAGATTGTCCAGGCATTGAGAGTTTGACGAAATGTCTCAATTACAGAGTTCTATAAATGGTTGTTTAAACCCTACTTTCAGGAAAAATGGGAAACCGATAAAATTCGCTGCTATGCATTTCTTGTAATGCATGGATTTCCTTGCTGCTTTGCGCAATGTGATAGGTCAAGCCTTCATCTCCACAAAATACATACATCTGCACTTTTTATGGAAACGAAAAGGTTAGTCATGTTTGCATTACATAAACCGTGCTTTTCGGTTTCGCTGTTAAACTGCTGAGGCATAGGTGAGGACATGTGTGCTATTTTTCCACTACTTTCCGAGTCGTAAGGCGAAAGAGGAAGCCCTCCTTTGGAAGAGCAAATACTAGTTACATAACTTTTTTTGAGATTTTTAAAAAAAAATTAACGCGAAAATAAAATATGAGGTCATTGAAAAATCACTGAAAACTATGGGTTTTGCAGAAACTTAGCCTAGAGGGGTAGTTTGGCATGCTGAACTCGAGATTTGCCTTATTTTATATGGTAGCTCCGTAAGCGTTTAGTTTGTCAAATGGTCAAGGCTCATGGATTCACCTCAAAATTAGCACAGCGGAGGTTTTTGAGGCGCTTTTCTCCATTAGGTTTTCTTCATATACGTCAACCCCTCCGGCCAACCCCCCCCCCCTTCCCCTGGGGTCTCCCCCCAAGACGGCCCCAGCTGCGACTGTCGCACCATACGCTTGATTATGGTTACAACTATAGGTTAACTGCAGGTTTCCTATAGGTTAGATCCTGGTATGTCATCCAAGTTAGTGTAGTGTTGTTCATTCCTGAACATACAACATATACTGAAACTGTAACAATACAGAGAAAACTAGCATGGCCCCTGCGCAAGGATGACACGCAAATTCGTGAAGCGTTCCAAAATTTTTTGGCACGCGTACACGCGCTTTGAGCGGTAGCGTCCGTTTGCTCTGCGGGACTTCGACTGTTTCCAGCTTCCTTTCCTGCTAGTTACTGCCAGCTTCAGCCTGCTGTCTTTATTTCTACTACTATAAAGTGCAGTACTGGTCAGTGCCTACTCTATTCTGAGCGGAGCTAAGCAATCATCGTCATCGTCACCGTTTTCTCACCTAAGACGGCAATTTTGTTCTGTTCATTGGACTTTGGAACCGACGTTCATCCCTAGTGGGGGGAGGGGCTGATTCTTTGTGGATTCCGATCAATCGCCACCATCAAAGTTTTGCTGTCGGTTATGTCGAGTGCAACGTTTTCGCCTTCTCGTTCGACATCACTTCCAGCCAAGCGTGGTCGTGTGGAGTCAATTTCACCACAGCCTTGGAAAACCGCGCTGGATCGCCTCCAACTACTTTCGAATGATAAGAACTTCACGCCGTTTATGAGGCTTGTAATCGAGATTTTGCTAGATACTAAGAAAGAGATGTCTGAGATTACTAAAGTTAATCGTGAGATTCTTGAGGATGATAGGAAGCTTAGAGAGGAGAATTTGGCTCTCACGAAAAAAATCGAATCGCTTCTCAACCCCACTGTTACTGTAGATGGTACTATTTCTACTCAGTGTATTAACGATGTTGCATCTAATGGTACCGCTGTAGATCCTGATCTTCCCAGGTCGTTGGTGTTGTGTGGCATTCCCGAAAATTCTTCTACTAGTTCTCTTGAGCGTGCTCAACACGATGTAAACTGTGTTAATGAGATTTTAAACTTTTTGAATGCTCAATGTATTCCTTCTGCACTGTAGCAAATGGGAAAGGCCCAAGAGCACAAATACCGGTTGCCCAAGGTAACTCTGCCAGCAAGTAGATTCCAGAAGGAAGCTGCCATTCCCCTCATCTACGATTCTTCCGTAATTCTGGGGTGTACCTTTGCCCCTCTCTCTCCAAAGGGGTTCGTGATCGTCTACATGAGGAACGAGGACACGAGGATAGGTCAACAGTTATTGATAGTTCTCGTTCTGTTGTATCAATTTCTCAGCTTAATAGTGCTACTCAGGAGAAGCACTAAAATCTTCTCGGTTATTCGCGGGTTCTATTAGATGTCTTTTATCAAATATTCGTTCTCTTGACAGAAATGTGGATCCGTTCGAAATGTTGCTGAAAAAAAGTGCTTCGATCTGATTTTTCTCACTGAAAGTTGGCTTGGTCCTAATATAGGTATCTCCACCATACTTGTTAATGTTCAAAAAAAGCTTGAAATTTTGCGATGCGACAAGGCTGATAAAAGAGGTGGGGCCTTGTTATTTTGTGTAGGCAGCCTTTGCTTATTTCAACCGTATTTCAAGAATCTGTTAAGAACTTTTTATGAGATTCTTATTGTGGACATCACTTTTAGTTCAACTGTTTCTAGGTTTCTTTGTATTTATCTTGCACCCAACTATCCTGCTACCTCCTCCAAGCAACTTTTTAAAGTCATTAATGATTACAGCTCTCAAAGTTCCTACACGGTGGTTCTGGGAGATCTTAGTTTCAACGATATCTCGTGGCTCAACCTACTGTACTCCACGCGTACTTCCTATGAGTTTTTGGAGTTGATTAAAACTCACTGCTTTGAACAGTTCGTGCATTTTCCAACCAGGGGCGAATCCATACTTGGCCTAATTTTGTGCAATTCACCCGGCTTTGTCCAACGTAGTGTTCTTGCTCCTCCAGTTGGAAATAGTGATCATTCAAGTGTACAATTTTGCTTGAACCTACGTCGTACTGTTTCTCACTCTATCTGGAGGAGAGATTTCTCTGCTGCTGATTATTCTGCCGTGGTGCGATATCTTTGCCATATTGATTAGGTTGGTTGTTTTAATATTGTTTCGTCAGTCAGCGACATGTATGAGATTTTTGTAACCGCTTTACATCATGTTATTAGAAAATTCGCAAAAGTTCTGTTACAAACAGCCGCGTCTTCCACCCCGTATCCTTCGGTTGAGCAAACTGCGAGAACTACGTTGGGCGAAAGCCAAACTAGATAACACATAGGCAGGGTGGGACTCATTTAAACGTTGCAATGCTAAGTTCCAAAAACTGTTATTTAAGTACTATTCATATGTTGAGAAAAAATTGTGGAAACTGGAAGTGCTTCAAAATTTTATTCATATTCAAGTACTCGTCTGTCCAAACGTAGAAAAGTTAATAGTTTTCTAATTAAAGATGATGTATATGTTTTTTTTGGACAAAGATAAGAGCGAACTTCTTGCTAGTGAATTTCAAAAAGCCTATATTAAATCTGAGTCATTATGCTTCTACTCAGACGTTCCATCCGTTTATCCTGAAATGTTACCAACAAGAGGAAATTGTCGAAATTCTCTCTGGTTGGACAAGATCATCAGCAATTACATCCGATAGCATCCCGCAGGAATTCATCAGAAGCAAAATATAACATCTTATTTTGCTAGAACCTTTGAAAAAAATTTTAAGGAAGCGAATTGTTGAGCACTTAGAGATCAACGCTATCATTCCTTGCAATCAACATGGTTTCTGCAGAGGTCGTTCTGTGAAAACAGCACTTTTAGTTGCACTGAATGATTGGATTATAGCCCTAGAGTCAAGAAAAAAATTCCTGTCGTTTACTTTGATCAAAGGCTTTCGACAAAGTTCCTATCATCAAGCTACTCATGAAATTATATGAAGCTAGTGTTCATAGTCGGATAGTTTCGCTGCTAGGTGATTTTCTTCCAAATCGCACCTACCAAGTCCGTCTTGGAACTGAATATTCCTCCGTCTTTCCCACTAGCAGCGGAGTCCCACAGTGGAGTTCTCTCACCTTTGCTGTTTCTCGTTTATACCTACCGTCTTTCAACCGAGTTGTCTCATTTTGATGTAAAATGTCTTATGTATGCTGATGACGTCAAAATTTATAAAATCATCAATGGACCTGAGGATATCGAACATCTTCAAAGAGCCATAGACTACATTAGAGAATGGTCTGAGTTATGGAAGCTGCCGTTGTCCTATGAAAAAACTTGTGTTCTTCCTATAAGCAAACGATTTATGCTCCTAACTATTCTCTTGCTAGTTATAAGTTGAAAGTAGTCTCTGAGGTTCGAGATTTGGGCTTTCTTTTAAACAGTTCTCTAAATTTCAGCGCGCATATCGATTCTATTGCTTCTAAAGCCCACCGTCAGTTATATAAGATTTTCAAAGCTTTGAGAACCTCTAATCCTAAAGTCTTGATCAGAGCATATAGGACCTACGTGCGTCCTCTTGTTGAATCTGGAACCACTGTTTTAGTCCTTTCACTGTCAAAGATATTGGTAATCTTGAAGGCGTACAAAATAATTCTACCCGTAGATTAGTTATGCGGTGTACTGGACTTGATTATCGATCCATTCTCGATGGGGTTGAGAGGATGAGGCAGCTTCGGCTTCCTAGCTTACATTGCAGAAGACATAGGAATGACTTAATAATGGCCTTCAAAATTCTTAAGTATATCATTGATGTTGAACCCACTGACTTCTTTACTCTTGTTACATCCAGACCACGAGGAGGTATATCAAGCTCAAACGTTCAGTGAGAAAATTTCAGATTAGGTCCAAATTTTTCTCTCAGCGTGTACTAGTACCTTCCAACAAATTCTTGAGCAAAAACTCACTGGAGATTACTCTTCCGCGTTTTCGAATCTCTGCGTCCAAAATTGCTTCTGTAGTGGATTCCAGATAGTACTACTGTTTTCCATCGCACCTGTTGTTTTGTTCTGTTTTTCTTACGTTTCTTTTCTTTCGTT